TCATCAGCTATTGTTAAGATCGACTCAAGATCATCCTTAGATTTACTGATCTAAAGAGTATTATCCATATAGGCGAGTGTAAAGACTTATGTTGAAACTGTAGATGTTGAGTTATTACCGATTTGTGAGTACCATTCAGCTGATAGATTATAACTAAAGACAACTTCACTATATAGATAATAATTAAGAGCAACTAAATTTCTCTCTTGTAATAGCCTTGATAAAGTATTTTGATTAAAATATATAATTTTCATTTACCTTTTTCATATATTTATTCATTTTTTCAATCTCATTATATTTTATTAATTTTATTTATATTTTTGATTAAATTAATTTTGTATTAAAGGTTTTAATAAATTTTCTTTTTATTTTGTTTTTTATTAATATAATAAAATGCTAAATTTTTTGATATTTATAATGATCTTATAATAAATTAATTAAATAAGTTTTTTTTTGAATTAAAATAAGAACAATAAAATAAATTTAGTATTTACGTAATATACTTTTTTTATTATTTTTTTTAATTTAAAAATAAAAGTTAACTAGCTTTTTATATAAATAGTTTATTTATAATTATTATATAATTTATATATAGAAATAGTCCTGATTTATAGCTTTTGAATGGTAGTACTTACGTGATTATTAGATAAAATCACATAAAGTTAAATGATTTGCAAAATATTATACTATGCACTTGTGTTTCTTTTAGTTGTTACTGTATATATAATTTAATAATTTTAAATTTTAGATATATAATATAAATATTTTAAAGAAATTTATAAATTTATATTATAATTATAATCTAAAAAATCTTTAATTAAAAGAATATGTAATTAATAAAAATTTATGATATATAATTTTAATAATATAATTAATAAAAAAAACAAAAGATCTAAATTAATTTAAAAAAAAATACTTTTAAAATATTAAATTATATTTTATATAAAAAAATTTATTTGTTTATATTATAAAAAGTTCTAATATTCTTAAATATTAAATTATATTTTAGTAACTTAAAATTCTAATATTAATCTAATAAAAATTATTTAGTTCTATATTAAAATTAAAATGTAAATAAAATAATAGATTAAGAAAGAATAAAATAAAATATATAATATTATCATAATAAATTACTTTTCAATTTAATTAAATTTATATTATATTAGATTTAAGTCAAATAAATATTATTTTATATTTAATATAATTTATATAATTTTTAAATTATTATAATTTTATTTTTAATTATTATTTATAATAAAAAATTTTATTATTTATTTTTAATCATTTAATTTTTATTAATAATAAATTAATTTTATTAATAATAAAATAATAAATTTTTAAAATTAATTATAATAATTTATAAAATTAAATTATTTAAAAAACTTCTTAATAAACTTAAAATATTTTTTTATAAAAATAATAAATATATATTAAATTATATTTTTTATATAATTATGATTTACTAACAATAAATATTTTATATTTTATTAAGAAATTAATATTTTTTTTTTTTTATATTTATAAGTAAATTTACCTGCTTTATAATTTAAGAAATAGGTAAATTATTATTAAATAATATAAAAGTTAAAAATATAAAAAGTAAAATAATATTATATAATTTAGATAATATATTATATATATTATATATAATAAGCAGATAATTTACTTTTTAAGTAATTACAAAATTTACTTATTATTTTTTATTATTTAGAATTTCATCAACACATTACAGAAAATATTTATAAAATGCATTATTATTAAGTAAGTTGGTTTATATTAAAATAATTAGAAAGATAATCATTACCTTATTTTTTTTTACATGATATGATTATTTTTATAAAAATAAATATTAAAAATTAATATTATTAATTAATTATATATATTTAATATATGGGATTTTTATAATAGAAAAGGTTAAAAATTTAAAAATAAATTAATACAAATTTAAACATATTTTAATCTAAAATTCATATTTAACATATAAAAGTAAAATTGATTTTTTTTGGCAATTTTCTCTTTCTATTGTAAAGTTTCATTTTAATAATATAAATAATATAAAAATTATAAAAAATCTTATTAAATTAGATTTTAAAATATTAAAAATTTTATTATTTTAAAATTTTCATTTTTTTTAAAATAAATTAATTAGATTTATTAAATTCTAAAATAAATATTATAATAATTTTATAAAAAAAAAATATAAAATAGATAAAATAATTTATTCTGTAATTTGCTATTAAAATTTGTTTAATATTTACTTTTAATAATTATAAAAATTATTCTATTTACTATATTTAATATTTAAATATATATAATAATATATATATTTTTGTTGTAAATTATCAATTATTAATACTTTTATGTTTAAAATACTAATTTATTTATTGGTGAACTTTTATATATTAATAGATAAATTATTTCATATTATTAAATATAAAAGTATTAAATTATATTATATATTTATTTTATTAAAGAATAATATGAAATTCATTTTTTGATTTAATAATTTCAAAAGAATATATATTAAATAAAAAAAGAAGTAAACATTATGTTTAATTAATAAATTATTAATGAAATATATGTAATAGATCAATTGGTATAATAAACTAACTAAAATTAATACCAAAGAAAATTTTCGAGATAATAGTAGAAAAATTACGGCAATATTTTAATATAAATAAAATTATAGCACAATGAATACAATTTTCACTTCAAAATACATTTGTATTAATTGTTTATAATATACAAGACATTTGTGTCAATCAAATATTTTAAAAAGAAATATACAGATAAATATCCCTTTTTTTCGTTAAATCTTGAATACAACTTTAATACATCCATCTAACTTTTTTTCAAAAATATTATAAGCCATTTCACCATCCGACAATTTTAGCGTATGAGTAATAATCTTTTCGAAATCAAATTGCTTAGAAAGCGCAAATGGAATCGTCTTTGTTAACATCTTTCTTACTGGACATCGTCCTGACTTATATGTAATGTTTTTATTGTACCCACTAATCATAATAAAAAATATATAATGTTAGATTTTCAATCAAAAAAAAAAAAAAAAAAAAATAACATAGTTACTCATTTGGACCAAAAGGAAAAGTTTTTGAATTGTGAACACCAACACTAGATATCACTCCACCGGGTCTAAGGAGATTAAATGCTAATTGAAGCGCTGTAGGATTACCCACAACCTACAAAGAAATAAAAAGATAAATATTTGTTTTAATATATAATAAAAACGAAAAAAGCTTAGTTTTATACCTCCAATACGACATCAGCACCCCTTCCACTAGTTACTTCCTTGATCGTTTCCACAGGATCACAATTAACAAAGTTCATAGTAGCTGCGCCATATTCTTGAGCAATTTTTAATCGTTCCTCAACACAATCAATAACGAAAACAAATTTAACGCCAAGGAAAATTGAAGATAGAATAGCCATTAATCCAACAGGTCCGCATCCAATAATCACAACAACGCTAACTTGACGAAGTTCAACTTCCAAATGCTCCAAACCATTTTCAGCACAAAAGTATCCAGTTGATAACACATCTCCAAGTAGCAATGCTACATTATCCGATAGATCTGGTAGAACCTTAACTAATGTTGAAGAAGCGAGAGGAACGCGAATATATTCTGCTTGAGCTCCATGAATTCCTTGTCCATCTGATATCAATCCGTATAATTGACCTTTTTCACAACGACACGTTATTCCACGCTCACAATAAAAACACTATAAAATATATATAATCAAATAAAGCTAATTCTATGATTTAATATGAAAATGTAATTTTACTTACGGCACCGCAAGAAGTCGAAAAGGGCGACAAAACACGATCACCAATCGACAAGTTTGTTATTTCATCACCAATTTCATGAATTATTCCAACAAATTCATGTCCCATTATAGTTCCTTTATCAACTCCGCTTTGATCCCCCCTATAGGCTAAAAAAAATTATCGTTCTATTTACATTATATATAAAAATAAGATAAAATAAAATAAAATAAAATATTTTTTTCTTACCATGAAGATCCGAACCACACAAGCCACAAACGGTAACTTTCACAATAGCATCAGTTGGTTCAATAATTTTCGGTATGTCTACGGTTTCAACGGCAACTTTATAAGGCTCATGATATGTTATAGCTTGCATCTTTGAAGTATGAAACAGATTTGTTAATAACATTTTTGTTTGATTATTTGTAAAAGGGGATGTTTCAGTTGATCTGCCATTTGCAGATCATTGAAATAATCATATATAATGAGAGTGCTACCAATCGATTGTGCAACAAACATACGAACATGCCATGCACATTTCGCAATTGTGATGATTTTTTCTGTACAACGGTGATCACGAAAAGCAAAATGTTTCTATTTAAATAAATTCCCCCAATGTAAAGAATGTATTGTTAATGCGTCATGCCTTATTCGGAATTATATTGTTATAATCATAAGACTATTTCACTATTGAAACAAAATAGCCCACCTACCTACTGCAATATACTGCAATGCATCCATTATTTATTATACATAAATACGATTAAACCTTGAGAAAAAGAATATTTATCGTTCAAAAAAAAATTTTTTTTTTCTTTTTTTGTTGTAAGTAATCATGGCCAGCAAATTACCGAATGAGATATTGCTTTACATTTTTAAGTCGATTTTTCGCGAAACAAGGTGAAAAGAAAGAAATTTGGTAGAGAACCAAATTACTTGCGTTGTGCAATAATTTATTTATTTTCTTTTCCTTTTCCTTTCTAGTTTTTCTAGATTATTCAAGTTACGAAGAACTTGTAAAAGATGGAATGAACTAATCCCGGTTGTAATTTCTGATGAATTATTAAAAAGTTACGAAAATGGTTGGCTTTTCATGGTATTATAATTTCTTCCAAACTCTGCTCTCCAATTTATTTAATCATTTATTATTTGGTAATTTCCTTTTTTTCTTATTTTTGTATATTAGATCGAAACGGTAAAGGATAGGATTAACATGTGTCCAAATAATAATAAAAAACCCATTGAATCGAGAAAACAAATTTTCTTTACGGATTTCATCAGATATGATTCAACATATCAAACATTTGATTTTAAATTTACCGATGAATCCGAGGCGTTATTTGATAAAAAGAAATGTATTAAATTATGGGTAACGAATTATAGAGTTGGAATTTATTGTTATATTGGTGGTACGAAGGTTACACTCGAGAATAAAAATAATAAGGGTAAATTACAAGATGATTTTTGTTGCTTTGAGGGTAATAATTATGAAAAAAGTTATGGAATTTTACGTGATAAAGGCAAAGTGGATAAATTTCAAATGCAAGATATCAAAGTAAAAGATTCTTTACTTGTGAAAACATTAGAATGTTTGCTGAAGCCAAAATGTTGTAATTAGATAGATTCATTATATAGATTTATTTTTTTTTTTTTTGGTTAGAATTTAAAATAAATGACATTTTTATTATTACTTAGAAGTATTAATTTCAAATTATTGTACAAGATTATATGTAAACAATTTTCGAGAGTTTACGAAAAGTCAACAAATAAGCAGGATCAAAATAGGTTTTATCAATAAATAAAGTTCAAATGAACGTTTCACCACTGATTTAGCAGGTCCGTAATATAATTCGTGCGCCAATTTCCAAGTTTATCTATCGATTTTGATTTCGCAACACCAAAAGGTTTTTGTTTATGAGACAAATATGAAAATATAAAACAAAACACTTTTGTTTTGACATTTGTTCCCCTATAAACGAATCAAATGTATGTCTATATGTTTCTTCTGTACACACCTCCGTGAAAAAAAAAAGTCATTTTGACCACTACATGTTGCTCCAGCAATAATATCGTTTTAAAACAATTGTTCTCAATGGGCAAAACTTTACTACATATCATTTTTTTACAATCCTTCGTACAAGGCCGTCCAACATGAAAGATTACATTGGATATAATGTTGTATTTTAATATAGATCAAGGTTTAGATAATAATACCTCCAACAATTGTTCAAATGCATGATTGGTAATACAAATGGTAACAATAGGATCAATTTTGATTACCCCAATTTAGTACCTTCAATTATAGCAATTTCACGTGCCATAGCAGAGATTGTTACCGTCTTAAAGTAAAACAATGCGAAATAAAGGGTAATCAGGTCCACAAATTCCTACTTTATAAATTACCTTGAGTATCACTGCTTGTTGATGTTCTTTGCCTTGCCTTCAATAAGAATAATGAAGATTACAACTTCATTATTTAATTTTTGATTTTAATGGAATTTATACAATATTAGACAATTAATGAAGCCAGATAAAAAACTTCTAATGAATATGAGGCGGTAAAAGCCTAAACGCTAGCAAATTAAACGAGAGGAAGGGGTAGGTAGGTAACAAATTACTAAAAACATGCAAAATGTTACACGGAAAATTTTTATAACTGGTTTAATTACACGTGACCAATTGGTTATAAAAAATAATTTTACTTCCTAATGAATAGTTGCGTTCGGTTCTAAACACTTTAACTTGTATTTTCATTCAATTATGAACCATTCTAGCGCGAAGTTTTTCTCATTTAATTAGATGAATCTTATAGATAATATTTTGAATTTTCAGATTAGATATCTAAATTATTAAATAAATTTCAAAGCTCTAATATTTATTTTATTTTTATAAAATTTAAAGCATTATGATTGTTGAAATATTTCATTAATAATTTTTTTTTGATTATTACTTATCTTTTCTTTTATTAATTGAATAAATTTTTGAAATTATGTAAAAAAAAAAAAAAAAAAAAAAAATAATTAATAATTATTTATTTAATATATAAATTAAAATTACCAAAATATTAAATCATATTTAAAATAATACAATATTAAAAGATTTTAATATTTCAAATAATGGTTTATAAGAAGTATCAAAAACTTATAAGACCTATATACTAAAAATTATATATTTATAATATGGGACCTTTGCAATAGAAAGGAAGAAAACAACCGGAAAAAATCAATTTTACTTTTATATGCCAAATATGATTTTTAGGTCAAAATATGTTCAGATTTAGCATTAATTCAATTTTTATTTTTTTCAGCCATTTTTTCTTTTTCTATTACAAAAGTTTCATATAGTCTTATAGTATAATCCTTTTTTATTTGAGTTAATTTTATAAAAAAAATTATGTTTAAATGTTAATACTATAGTTAAAATCTATTATTATTATTAAATTTATATATATATTAAATTGGTTTTTTTATAAATAACTAATAATTAAAAAGCTATTAACTGAATCAAAAATTTTTATAATAAAAAAATTACAATTTATAATATATTTTTTAAAATTTTATCATTAACACAAATAAAAGATAATATTATAACAATTTTTAAATTAAAATAAAATTTAAAATAGAATTCAATTATACTAATACTAGTCAAAATAATTTAAATCAACTAGAAATTGATAGCTAATTTTAAGCTGATTTTAATACTATTTATGGCTGATCAATTATATTTTCTAATTATCTTTTGATTGTCTAAATTATCATCAATTAATTCTAATAGATATAGCTATTTAGCATTAATTTAGAACTTAAATTTAATTACAAATCAGTCTAAAATACTACTGATCAACTACAATTAGACGAGCAATTTAACTATGAATTAGCATTGATTGACTTCAATTAGATAAGTAATCCAGCATCTATTCAAAACTTAATAACTATAAAGCAATCTAAAATTAGTATTAAATTAGTCAAATAAGCATATAAAATCAATACATTTTTATTTAATTAAATTATTAAATATTAAAATTTTATTAACAATAAAAATTTTATATAAATTTGCAAAATTATAACAAAATATGAGGTGAGTGCTGAGAAAAGGAACCAAATCAAAAATTTTTTCAAAAAATTGTTCTTAAGTAAATTTAAATCTGATTATCTCATCTAGTCTAGAACTTTCATTATTTAAAAAAATAATTTTTTGACAATTTGGTCTCTTTTCTTAGTACTCACTTTATATTATCAAAATCTATTGATTAATTTTCTATTAAAAATAAATAATAAAATAATAAAATAATAATATTTTCTCCTAAAATTCTTTAAAAATATCTTAAATATAACATTATCATTATCTAAATATTCTAATAATATAAAAATAAATAAAAAATTAATCCTTTTCATTAAAATTGCTTAAAAATATATAAAGATAATAAATAAAATAATATAAAAGATAGAAAAATTAACTTCAAAATTACTTAAAAAAATGTAAACTCAATGTTTTATTCTATTAATTAT